CGCGTGGCCTTTTGGATGAAGGACATTTTCAGCTGGTTTTCTCAGTGCAACAGCAGACAGTTGATCTGATGGCTCTTCCTTTCCAGTGAATACTGGTAGTGCTGCAAGAAAATGGGCTTTAAATGTCAGTTCTCTGCTGCATCCCACTGTCAAATAATCAGGTTTTTGGCACTGGTGCACAATTCCTTCCCCTCTGACCCGAGTATTAATTCCAGGCCACCCTGCGTGGGGTGTGCTTCCCAGATCCGGGGCCACGGAGTGCCTTGGGTGCAATGTAAGGAGAGACTTGTTTTATTTTAAAAGCTGCCTTTACCTTCCTCAGATCTCCTGGACTGCTTTGCCAAGAGGAGACTTGCACAGAGGGACGTAAAACCAGGGCAGGATGGTTGCTCAGCTTCCCACTTTTGGGAAAGCAGAGCCACTGCCCCACTGAGACACATCTGTGGTCGGCTCCGAGCGGGGGCCAGACCCCGCTGGGCTGATTTCTCCAATTCATGCTGAGATTGTGTTTAAAAATTCCAAATCCAGTGCCTAGAGCAGGGAGATGTGGGGTGGAGAGGGACTCTCTGAACACCAGGCACTGTGGTGGTCTTTGGCCTGGCCAGAGCGGTTTGAGAGGTGCTTTCTTTTTTAGTGGGATGACCATACTTTTAACACAGGGATTTCAATGCTGGTATTACCTTTGCTTCTTCTCCTCTCCACTTAGGGAGGGGAGTTTGTGTGCCTAAAAACATCACGTGTGTGGACTGAGTTGCCCATCAGTTACATCAGACCTAACCTACCCTAATTTTGCTACTATAATTCATTAGTTAATTTTAAGAGAACATTTCTTCTCCTCACTAACCCTGTGAATTAATTCCCAGGCTGCTCACTACCGATCCAGTACTGGCAGGGGAAAATGGGGAATTTGAACTAGCTGACCTCGGTTTTATTGCTGTTTTATGTTACCCTACATAGAATATGAGCATATCTTAGAAATCTAACCCAAATACCCTTGATGTGTATTTTAATTTGGACATGACTCGGTCAGGGTCATGCAAAAAGCAATTCCAAAGCCCTTTGGAGGTTATGGGTCCAGCTGTTGTGGGGTGTGTGTCCCACTAAGACCAGCTCTCCCACCTTTTTGCCTTTTGTGAAGTATTTCACCAGCCTGTGCCTGTTCTCTCTTCCCTGGTTCTCCTCCTTTAATGATGTTGCTGATACCTGGAACACCAGGCCCTGCCCGAGGCTTCCAGCTTGCTTGGGGTTTGATTGATGGCTTCAGCTTGTGCCATCGAGTTCTTACTGATCTCTTGTGTGTGTGCCTCTGCATTTTAATCTTGGCCAGAGCAGACAATGGCCTGGAGGGCGGGATTCGGGGTGCAGATCGAGCTGGGATCCAGTGAGACCCCCCCCCCGAGATTCCCTGGATCGCTGCACCGTCAGGTTGTGTCTGCAGCTCAGCTGCCAGGCAGGATGCAGAGGGCGTAGGCAGCGAGGCATCCCGATGGGCTGGGAACATCTGAGCAGCACTAGTTCCAGGTTCTGGAAGAGGGAACAAACCCCTGGAGTGCCGGTGAGCCGTGGTGCAGTGGAGAGGCTTGGAAATGCAGAAGGGATGATTGCTGCAAGCTGGGTGAGGGGGCGAGGGGGTCGCTGCCTCTTGTTCTGCTGCTCTTTCTGGGAGCATCCTCCTCCTGCCGCCCCTGGAGACGGGTTCCTGGGAAAAACGCACCCCTGAGCTCACCCGGGCTGACAGCAGGGTCACCCAGGGAAGGAGGAGCTCACAAATGCCAAACCTGGGTTAATTTTAAATTGCCTTAACTAGACTTGGCCCCTGCTGGGGAAGGGGAGTGAGTCCTCCTGTCGCCTGAAACACGGAACAGTGCCATATTCCCCGTGCCCCCGGTGGATGGTCTGTCGGGCAGGGCCGTGCCTCGGGGTGCCCCCCACACTCTGCCTGTTGCACAAGGATGTTGCTGTGTGGGCGCCAGGGCTCAGCCCCGGGTGGGGGCGGCTCCTCCGGCCCTCCCAGCAGCGGGAAGGACGCTGCCTTGTCCCTGCAAGCCTCCTGCAACCACCCTCTGCTCCCAAATCCCAGCCCAGGGCGGGAATCAAAACGGCAGGGTCAGGGTTGTGGGCAGGTAGGGAAGGTTGGTTGGTTTTTGTGGGTTTTTTCAAACCTCCTTTGATTCCTGCTTTTCTTTTCAATCTCTGGTTGCCAAGCGGGATGAGCCTGTGTGGGGATCCCTGAGAAACAGCTGCTGTGAAGGGACCATCTCTTGAGTATCATTGCAAAATCACTGAGTGCTGGGCCACCAAGTAAGCTCAGTATTTTTTGAAGCAGTAGGGGAGGAGGAGAGGTGCCAAAAACAACCTTTGCAAGGCAGAGCAGCTGTGCTGTAACTGCAGGGCCGAGGGCACTGCCATCGCTGTCGTCATGTCGTGCTCACTTACTCCTTCCTCCCCTCTTCCCAGGCGAGGCTGAGGCAAACCTCACACCATCTCACAAAGCCCCAGAGCTCATCCTCCTCCCCACGAGGATTTCCCCCCCCCTCCTCCTCCTCCCTCCGTGCTTTCCATTTCATCCCGGTGGAGCCGGAGCAGCCATTTCGCCCGTCCTGGGAGCCGTTTTGCTCCGGGTGTGCAAGTTGGGGCAGGTCACCACCGCCTTCCCTTCCCTGGTTAAACATTCTCCCGGTGTCCTCGCCCGCAGTGCTTGGCTGCTGCTCCCGGCAGCCTCTCCCCCGCCGCCCCCCTTCCCGCTCGCTGGGAAAGCCTCATCCCGGCTCCCCGGGCTCAGCCCGGAGCCTCCGCCGCAGTCGGTGACCTTCACTGCTTCTCCTCTCCTTATCAGACCCAGAGCACCAGACCAGATCCAGGGAAGGGGCTCCCGGAGCTCCCAGATGGCTGAGGAATCGTGCAGAGTGGCGTTCCAGGGGAAGGATAGATTGGGGGTTTTATATATATATATATATTTTTTTTTTTTTTCCCTTCAGTCCATGAACTTATTTAACGTGTTTCTCTTGGAAGTCCCTGCCCTGGAGGGGCTCTGTGGGGGAGCTGCCTGGCAGGGCAGATGCAGCTGCCCCGGGTCAGGTTTCATTGCTGTTGGATTTCGGGGAGGGGAAGGGGGGGGTGCTTTCTGCTCTTCCTTTTTAAACAAAGCCTTGAAGTGGGAAGTGGATCCGATGTTTTTATTACTGTATTAACATTCGTTTTAATTCATTTCAGAAACTAACCCATTTTTCTTCCTGATTAGAACGTCATAGAATTAGACGAGCTGTAACCCCTCCTGAAGTGCCTTATTTTCCTACATGATATAAATATATTTATAAGAGTAATTATTCCACTTGTATCTTAGGGGTT